GGAAGTTCAGTTAGACCAGTAATGGCGGATATCTTGATGTCACACCTAGAAAACCCCCAACCTTAAAGCTGAAACTTCCCGGTTTTTTGACATCGTAGGAGGTTGTTTCTTCTTCAAGTATATTAAAATGTAATTGAATGAATAAGTCAGAGCTTATCGACCTTAGAAGCCAGAAGATGGTTGAGGCCTGCCATACACACACGGACTTTTCGGAGGATTTTGATTTCCATATGTTTGTGTTGAAACTGTACTTCGAAACCTTCTACTACTGGAATTGGAACTTAGTGAAATATGAGGAGTATGTTGCTTTTAGAGTTGACCTTTCTTTTTTCATAGTAGAGCTTTGTTTCATTGGTTTAGGGAATCGACTTTCAACTAATGGGTCACAGGTTCGAACCCCGCTCCACCTACAGAGTTTTAAGCAGGCAAGCGGTAGTATCATTAACGACCACACAATATGTGTGGCTCATTGTCTACTGCACGTGATATTTGAGTACGTTTTGATTTTTGTTTTCGGCTTTCGAACCCCTCATTCCAGCAAAGGAAAGGCAGTGTGAACTGAGAATGGTAGGTATCGTCGAAAAACACCCCACTGCTATCATGCATTCTAATACGGTTAGTAGTGGGATTTCCCCCATAGGACCTCATTTTACTTAGTAGTGTATTTTGATCGTGAAATTAGGTAGTGAGATAAACCACTCTTTGTCTCATAGTTCTCCAATGTATTCCTGGTACTTCAGCTGTCTAACAACTGAATATCTCAGGCAGCATAGTTATCACAACAGTAGTATATATTTACCGCCAACCGGAAGATATTTCTCTTTATGTCCTTATTGGTCAATCTCAGAATACACAATGCTATTGTTTGTACTAGACAGTAATGCTTCCCCAGACCATTTTCATTTACTGAATTGACCATAAACATAATTCAAATACTGAAAAATGGATAACATTATAGCTCGTTGCTTATTCTAGTCCGGTAGATTTGAATACCATATGGAAGAAATCGAACCTATGACTCTCCAGTTGAGATGGGTTTTTTTTTCTCCAACGATTAGACAACCACCTACGGTCATACACTGAGTATAACATAGACATCAAGAAATAATACATCACATAATTTAGTTCATACTATTAAATTATCATAATTAGCGATCCAGACAAGCGTTTTGAAGTTTCCATTACAGCCTAACGTCATCCAATGTTGTATGAGAAGTGAGATACTGTTCGCTGGCCTACACTGAAGTTGCCTTAAGGACTATTCCTACCAAACCTAGAGTAACCCAGAGAAGTCAGTTGCTACAACTCAATAATTGCTGGCGACCAAAGTCCGTTCCGGATGTAGGCATTTCTTTCTGAAATCATAGTTTTCCAACTCTCCTAGGTGAATCATTCGGTTATAAGCATTGAAAACCACTTAGATGTCTCAAAATATGATGCAACTTTGTTTTGTCATCCGTTCATGAAGGATAACTCTTGTTGTCCATAAATGTTGGTTGAACAGGCGAATTTTTCTTCTACTCAAAACTATCATTACTACGCAACGGTCCAAGTTGCTACATCTTATATATCACCAACAGTCAACGACTTGATGGACTGATGTCACGTTTTATTCTGATCACCTTTAAACTTTTGTCAATCTGAATCCACTTTGGCTAGCATTGTACGTTAGGGTACACGGTGACCAGATATGCTCCATCCACCTCTGTCAATGACCTGATCAACTAACTTACCTCTTCCATTTTAGTTGATTTTTTAGATGTATTACACAGTTGAACACTATTATTTATTGGATCACTTTTCGAACACAGTTTATTGTCCATTTTTTTCATATCAAAACAACTTCACGAATCTGAGACAGGCTTTATACAGTTCTAATTTTCTCACCTCCTTTGTAATATGAGTAGTAGAACTGTTCATATATCCGGAACAGATACTGAGTCATTCTTGTATTAGGTGTTGGCATGGCTCCGAAAGCAGTTAGAAATGAGCTTATATTACAAACTAAGGTACCAGTAGATGATATCATATCTATGCCTAACTTCGACAACCTTTAAGCTTCAGAATAAAATATACAAAAAAACAGAAGGAGTTTCCATGGCATCACCTATATCCCCTATTGTGGCTAAACATATTTATGAATAGTTTGGAACAGATGTCTGGGGAAACATTCAGTTCAACTCCAAAAGTTTAGTTTCGACATGTAGATGACATGTTTACAGTGTTGAAATCGGAGCACATACATAGTTTCTTTACACATATGAATTCAGTAGTCAACGCAATTCAATTCACCTATGAATTGAAAAAGTAGTGAAGGGGAATTAGAGATATTGGACTGCAGGATAAAGCGAACGCAAGATGAAAGTTCAGATGCACTAGTGTCCACAGAAAACTTTGATATTCAAATCGTTACCTAGACTTCAAATCGTCTCAACCTACGTCAGTTAAAGCTGGCTTGGTAATAATATATCTAAGTAACAGAGTCAGAAAACTTACTAATAAAACAGAAGATCTAAGACGAGAAACCAGATACATCAAGGACACCTTAATCAGTTACCCTCCAAAATTAATCAGTAGGTCCCTTAGTAATCGTAAGGAAAATACGACCAACATTAATATTACAGGTGTTAATAGTAGTCATAATAATGTTAATAATGATGGTGGGAATACTGTACCATGCCATACAAGGAGGGAGTACCTCACAGACATTACGTAGAATTCCCAAACACGTTGGTATTAGAGTAGCATTTAAACCAACAAACTAGCTTAGAAACAAGTTTTGAATGCTGAAAGATCGTATTGTTTAATCAGGCAAAATAATTTAGCTTACTGAATGCCTTACAACGATTGTGAAGTCAAACACATAGGTCGAAGAAGTCGACCATGTGTTGGTCAATTAGACTATCCTAACACAAAACGTGAGGTAGGTGAGAATTGGTGAATCGTAGTAAAATGAGGAATTTCGAGGAAAACTCGGTGATAGGTATGCATGCAATTACACACAATAGAATGAGTCGGGATGAAGATTCTTCAAAGTCAAGTAGTTAGTTGGGTAGAGGAGGGAGAGATTGATAATCAGATTTTTGTTTATCGAATGAACACTTAGTACATGCTTCAACAGGAGTGACTCAGCATCTGTTCCGGATACATGGAAAGTCCCACTTCCAGTATCACAAAGGAGGTGAGAAAATTAGAACCATTTTAAAACTATGTCTCATAGTTTTATAGTTAACATGATATGACAATATGGACAGTAAATTGTGTTCGAAACGTGATCCACTAAACAATACTGTTCGACTGGGTGATACATCTAATCATTCAATCAAAATATATTTACATCCTATCACAGTGATCAAGTTTTATGTGACTGGAGTGGTGGTTCCATGGCACACTTGATGCTCTCTGTTTTATCGTCCACGTTGAATGATGGTGTTTCACCGCGGTATAGTGGGACGTGGCGAAATTCTTTGTTGTACAATTGACTCGTAGTAGGCAATCACTAGAAGTTAATCAATGCTTTTTATACCGGTTCACAGATTTCCTAGGTGACTGGTAGGTCAGAATTTTCGTGTGACTTCTCATGTAAGCAAGGTGGGTATTCAATACGTTCATCTGCTTCACTATTGTTAGGTAAAGTATGAATGCAGACCAGTCCTAAAGGAGTAATATACGTTTAGGTGGTACAAAGTTTTACTGATGCAACCAGATATCAATTTTTTATCAGATATAATGGTGGGGAATATTTGTAACTCAGGTGGATGGTCTCAGTTGTGTTGTGTTCTCTGAGCTGGGTTGTTTAGTCATCAAGCTTTCGTCGTCTTTCTAGACGACACCATAAGCACCAACTTCAGTATGAAGTGAGTTGTCAATATCTCTCCGTGAGTGATTTAGTAGCTCCACCTGATCAACTAGCTCGTGATTGGTTGTTTCCTTCGATTGTTGTGTCATTGACTGTATGGATTTTCCTGTTGGATGTTCCTCTGCTTCACCTCTCACCCCTCTGTCGTTTATCATTCATCTCATTGTTTGATTGATAGATTGGGTCTATGTCTATGCATCTGTTGATTGCTGACTAACCTGAATGTCAAGTTTCTAGCAATTCTCTGATATTCTTTGTGTTTCCTCTCTCCCTCCAAAATTTCCACATTGTCGAAATTGAATTCATGTTCATAATTATCCATATACATCGAACTGAGTGATGAGACGTTGTGGCGTTTAATAGCCAATCGGTGTTGATGTAGAGAGGAAGGTGAAGGGGGTGACCACTTTGTCCAATGTAGTGTTGAATACAGTTATTCCAATTGACTTTTTAAATAATATTTGGTTTATCTTCTTTGGTTGTTGCATCATTTGGTCTGTATAATATGGATTGGAGGGAATTAGCAAGTTTATGAGCCACGCTAATTCCAAGTGATCTCATTAATCTTGTCGTGATCTCTGATGTATTCTTTATGTATGGTAAGATGATGCGTCTGTTGTTTTCTGTCGATGACTTTGTAGTTGATGGTGCACGGGGATATGTATGTGGTGATGAAGTTTTGTAGGTAGCCCTTCTTCTTCTTTAGGATGGATATCAAGTAATCTTTTTCGTTTCACCGTGTTGTACTACAGTGTGTTCCCGCTCTTTTGAATAGAGTCTGCATGCAACTAATTTTGTGTATATTTCAGGTTGTTGCTGGTGTAGTTGAGGATTCGATCAGTGTGTGTTGGCTTCCCCGTTCACTTGGGTTCTCAGCTTTCCGGCATTTGTTCTGCTGACTAAAACATCTAGGAATGTGCTCAGTGAACACACAGCTGTTCACTACTGGTTATTCGTAGCTTTCCAACTAAGTCCACTGTTACACTAATTCACTTTCAGAGGTCATCTTATTGGTCAGTAGTTAAACTCTGCCTAGGAGATTTATGTCTAATTGATGGCTATGAATTACTTTTTTTAATGTTCAAAAAAAAATCTTGATGCTGGGATACATCCCTGTGTTCAATCTTTTTTTTTCTTCTAGGTGTTGGCTTATGCCATACAAAAATCTGATATGGATTTAAGACGTATGCTGTATGAGAATATTGTACTGTCTGGCGGTTCAACTCTTTTCAAAGGCTAGTGGTTGTTATTTTCATTTACTAATATCAGTTTTCCACACTGGTTGTGATGATGGGGAGTGAAATGGTGAAATATATCGGCCACTTCACTTACTTGAGGAGTCGCATCAGCCCGAACGGACTAGCTGCTGAGAAAATCCCAGCTTGAATACAAAAGGCCAGTTTGTCATTTGCCAACTTGCGTCATCTGTGGTGTCGGAAGGTGCGATATCCGACTATCTACCAAGGGATGCGTATACTGCGCTGCAGTCCACTCTGTCCTGTTATACGACTAAGGGAGATGTGAAGCAATTACAGGGCTTTGATTACAGAGGACTTTGTAGCATCGCTCGTGTTTGGTAGAATCATCGTGTGAGCAATGTTGAGGTACGTTAGGCGAACGGTATTAGGCAAGATAGGCAAGTTGATTGATGAGGTTGTGAACTTTCATCGACTGAGTTGGCTTGGATATATGTTGCGTATGCCTAGTCACCGCCTACCTCGACGTGTAATGCTGTTGTGTGGAATGTTGGATTAGGTTAGAAGAGGATGGCGTTAGTAGATGAATTCCTAAACCATACGTTATCGACAAAATAAACTACAGAAACTGCGTAAAACACTATATTGGAGAGAGTATTCGCCATCTTCGTATCCCTCTACATGAACATCATCTAATCGTAAAGCGTCAGTATACGTCTTCGCTCATATCAATACATATTAACAACTGTGGAAATGAATTTTGACTGGGAAAACGTGAAAGTCCTGAATGAAGGAAATGCAAAGAATGCCAGAGAATTTTTAGAGGCTTGGAACTTGGGTCAGTTAGTGACAAAAAACATATTGACATGGACCCAATCTATCACTCGATAAGAAACAAAGAGAATGTTACATTTCACTTCAGTAGAACAACCAATAGAAATGCATGTAGAGACAGTGACAAGATTTTAGCAGAAACAACCAATCACACTCGAGGTCATCAGGACAAACTACCAAGCTAATCGGGGTAGAAAAAACCCCATAGCTCAATTCTTTCTCAAGTTGGTGTAGATGATGTTGTCTAGGATGGTAATGAACGCTTCACGACTAAACTATCCAGATCAGAGAACACCACCAAAATCCGTTCTAACATTTTAAGATTCATTACCATATAACGTCTAGCCAGAGTTTAAGAATAACAAACTTCATAGGTTAGAGTTGTAATTCATTTGTTCGAACCGCCAAGTTTTATCTAGTATGTTATAGGTTGCGACCCGACTATATCTTCTGAGAGGTGTATGTGTGTGGTCAGATATAAAGAATTAACTTTCTCCTATGAACCTGGTGCACAACTCGACATATATGCATTACTGTTAATGATGGATTGTGGCTAGCAGTGGGATCCAGAATGATCATTTCGTCCTATTTGGGACTCGTCACCTGAATGTACCTGCTTCCCAGTGAGTGATGTTGTCCCCACCGGGATTCGGACTCGGAGGCGATCGCTTCAAACGCCAGAGCGTTATCCACTACACCAGCGAGCCAAAATAGCCAATTCTTGTGCGACGGTTCAATCAATGATGGTATCATATAAAAACAATCATATACTAAAAACTATACCCGTCGCAAATTTATAGCGTCGTTCATCACATTTTCACTATCCCCCCTCCCCCGCCTTTCATCTTCTATACCCTAAGATACAAGTCAACATACCCCTACCAGCATTTTACACTGACCACATTTATTGATCCTAATACGATCACAAGAAGTTTTGAGAAAGTGCCTTTCACATATTACTGATAACTTTGTACTCGAAAAGTGATGATTATAATGAGAATGTATGGGAAGAACTATCATTGAATAGTGGTCTCTCTATATATTCATTCAAATTTCTTCGAAGATATTCCTCTGAAGTTGCATATTCTGCCTGAAAAGTTTGAGGGATTCCCATCAATCTAAGACTCTTGAATCGGTTTCAAGTAACCTAAGAGGTTAGATATGATCAACGCAAGACCTAGGATAACTACGTATTGGTTCAAGTTACCAAGTGTCACATATACACATCGAGATGGAAGTTAACACAAGGGAATTCAAAGCGAGGAAACTAATAACAACGAACTTCGCAAAATATCTTATGACAAATAGAGTAAAGAAGATAAAAACTGACAGTGAAATGTTGTATTGAGATGATTTACACGGCATGAATCCATCTGTGTGACTGTGGTCACTTCTGCAGCCTACCACTTAGAGTCGTCAACTGCTGGTCTCGGTTACCTGATGGTAAAAGAAAGTTAAGGTAACCTGATGGCTCGGATCAACTATCAGAAACTATGGACTGGCTGCTTACTTTGCTCTGATCATTTTAAGCTTTTCTCTACGATAGTCGTGCTTTGATCAACATAGTGTCCTAGGGTAAATGATGACCAATGATGTTATATTGATCTTTTTAACTAGCAGAGGAATCCAGGACGCGCGTTTTATCCTATTTCGGACTTGTCAGCTGGATGTACCTTCACCCCAATGAGTGGTATTATTCCCACTGAGACTCTAACTCATTACCGTTTGCTTCAAGCGACAGAGCGTTATCCACTAAGCCACTGGGGCACAATCAAGGATGTTTAACTTACAAGAAACTATCTTAGTTGGTTCAGATTCACAACCTTACCGATTAAACATGGTTGCCTTCTCCATCTTGTCGATGTCTTTTCATAGGATTATATCGCCTTGTGGAGATAAATTCCTTTAAAGGTAGGAAAGAGGAATGACTTGCGTGAATACTTCGATCTGTAGTAGGCGAATATCTTAAGTAGACGACACCAGCTGACAAAAATCGAGATTGTTCGCGTATGGAGTCTTGAGTGTTACACTTACCCCAAGCACACCTTCCAGTCAGGGAGGAAGCAGTATCAGCACGACTAATGATTTAGCCTTGTCATATGGGTAAAGATAACAGAATAACTAGAACTGAGAATACTCCGCAATTGTGGAATTTCGTCATTGTTAAATGTTCTTTATAATTCCGTTGGCAGATTGGGCTCCTATGCAGATGCCTCGATACCATCGGATATTTATGATATTATATTCATCTTAGTGATTAGCAGTGAAATCCACCTTGATGCGCGTTTCGTCTTATTTGGGACTCTTCGGCTGGATGTATCTGGCTGCCAGTGACTGATATTGTTTCCACTGAGACTCGAACTCACTACCCAATAAAAGAAACTAATACCCGTTGCACAAGTGGTGACTCTCATGCTCCAGTGGCTTAGTGGATCACGGTTCGGCGTTCGAAACGACGGTTACTGGATTCAAGTTTCAGTCAGTGGGGTGCAATCACATCCAGCTGACGAGTCCTAAACAGGACGAAACGTGAGTCAAGCTGGATTCCACTGCTAATCACTAAGAGTTGCCTTTTTTTTTCTTATCCCAAGTATCTTTTATTATTTTTGTGTTTCATTTCATAAAGGATTCGGTGATCGACTTGTCTTAGAGTTGAAGCGTTTAGCTCCAAAAGATGCACATCTTAGAATTTCTGCACCTCAAGAGCGTTTATACTCTACATGGATTGGTGGTTCAATTCTTGCTTCATTGGATACCTTTAAAAGGATGTGGATATCAAAACGAGAGTATGACAGTGAAGGGGCACGTGTTCTCTACCGAAAACTTCTTTAAGACTATTTATTGACTTCTCTACTTTATTACAATTTTCTCTATTCTGTTGAATACACATTTATTGATGGATTATCATTCTCACAAAATGTACTTGAAGACAAATACATGTGTGTGTTTGTGTGTGTCTTACTTCCAGTTATAACCTTCAGCATGAGATCTGTATTTCCTTCTTTTAACCCAAATATACACACACACACACACGTATGTATGTATGGATCCACTAAACTTTCTCACTATCACCTTTTCTTTTCTCTACTTTTTATCCCGCTGATTTTATTCCTTGCTAAAGGTCTCTACGCCATCTTCGTTGTCCTCATCATTATCATCATGCTGGTTTCAATATGTGAAAATCTCCTTAAAATTGCTACCGAGGCTTGCATGTGTGTGTGTGTGTACGCTCGTGTGTGCATGCGTATCTCGCATGTCTTCTGCGTACACTATGAAAGTCTTCTCGATGATCTAATCATCTTTTATGTGTTATTTGTAAAATGGGTTCAGTTATTTATTTAGTTATTTCTTTTTATTTCTCTTCATGTGTTTGTTTTAATTCTCCGATTCATTGGGTACTCTTATTCTGGAATATTTGGAGCAAACAAAAAAATCATTATCATCCGATCCGATCCGATCCCCCTACGACCTGGTTTGTCTCTTCATGTTTCTATTTTCATTGTCATATCCATGTGTATGTGTGTGCGTTTGTTCATTTTGCGCAGATGGTATATCTTGTCTGTGTTAATATTGTGTTCTTAATCTTACAACTATTATTGTGTACTTTGTATCGCCATCGCATTCCAGTCCACTTGGTGTGTTGGGGGGATGGGCAGGCAGGTGGAGGTCATTCAAATATATATATATATATATATATATATATATATATATATATATATATATATACTAAGTTATTTATACGGTCTTCATTTATCGATGCCGGTGTTTTCGCTTCTTTTTTTTCCGACAGAGGTATTAGAGGATTATCTGTTCATTTTACAAAATTACTGTCTTTGAATATGTTGACGCTTGGTTGTTCATCACTCTCTGTCTTCGGTTGCTTCTATTCTCTGCTTTGTTTGCATTGAATACTATTATGAAGATTGATTTAAGCGGATGGTTTGTCCATACTTTGTATATCTATACATATATATATATATATTATATATATTTCTACTTTTGTCCTAATGAAATATATTTAGCTTTTTTTTTTGTTTTATTACGTGAAATCCCTCTTTTGGCAACATAAGATGTGTGAAATATATCCATTAGGATATGAAGGAAAGGAACAAGTAAGTATTTCAGTGAAGAGTCTGTTTTCGACGATTTGATTTTTTCAAACTTGTATAATCGTTAATTTATACATTTCTCTCTAGTGTAAGGATTTGATAGTTAAAAATGGTTTGTCAAACAACACAAATAATGTCAATCATATGAGTTGTCATTAAAATCAACAAAAACTGTGGTGAGTAAGTTTGGACAAGAAGTTTCGTAACATGACAATGATATAATTGGAAACTGAATTGTGATCAGGCAAAGCATAGCCATCTATCTATCCAAATCAACATAGGACCAGGGATTATACTGCGTAACGGTCCGAGTTGCCACAGCTCATATCAGCATATCAAGTAAAAAGGCAGTGAAGTGGAAGATGAAGATAAGAAAATTCAGTCAAAAGGAAGGAAGGAAGAATGAGAAAATGATGAGATTCTGTATATCGTCGTTAAGAGGATGATAATATGTGTATACATCTGCGCCATTGACATCAGTTCTGAGTCATGTGATTACCTAGAGTCTTCAACCGCTGATTTCTCTTGTCCCGCGGACCCCCCATGACTAAAACCAACAGTCAAAGACTTCATATATTGATGCCATGTTTTAGTCTGGTTACCTCAATCCCTTTCCCAGTCTGAACCTACTTCGGTTAACATTGTGTGAAGAGGCAGACGGTGACTAGACATACATAACACATGTCCCAACTATGTGTGACGTATGCCTAGCAAATTACTTAAGAAGTGAATAGTGTCAAAAAATGAAAAGAAAATATGGGGGGAGTTAGAGGAAATTTCAAAGACTGAAAACTAAGACCATGAAAGGAGAAGGGGTTGGGCAATCTTCTTTTGTGTACACAGTTCAGGTTTCTCCATCTGGATGGCAAGAGCTTCGACGATGCAGAGAATACGAAGACATACAGCTTTTAGAAGGGTTTTTCTACTTTATAGATGACGTTGAACGAGGTTCTTGAGATAGGGCGATTCATGTTCAAATATAGCACTCCTTATCGCTCCATTGTAACCACACGGGATAGTGTTCTTGAACCCTTTTGGATAACATTCGCATCGAACTACCTATATACCTGGCTCCACAAGAGTAGGTGAATTGATATTATGCACATAGAAGTGGTCAGATGCGAAAGTTTTTCCTTCGAATTGTTAGAAATCGTTGCGCGGCAAGAGAATACTAGTCTCAGTGTTGATGCAAAGAATGTTCCCCTTAGAGCATGTGATATCCTCCATTTTAGAGTGTCAGCAACAGAATCACCTTTGAAGTTGAGAGTATCTTTTTTGGCATGGTTGTAAGGTTTAGGTTTGATGTGTTTGTCTATGAAGCGTGGTGAGAATCTGTTTTTAATCAGGATGTTCTTTAGAACAGAAATTTCCTCTTCTCACATATCGGGACTGTAGGTTCATCTAGTGCGAATGGCAAGAGATATGATCAGGTTTCGCTTACGACTCATAGGGACCCAGCTATTAAAGTTTGTCAGCTGGCTATTCCACATTGGTTTTCTGTGAATTGACCTGCTTAACGTTCCATCAGCTGTTCTTGTCATCTTTACATCAATCCTTACACTAGAAAAAAGGTATAAACTTGCAACTGTACAGCTTTGAAAATGAAATCGCCGAAAAGTGACTCTTTGCTGAAATATACTTGTTCTTCTTTCAACATAAGATGACTAGGTAGAGGAATGCAAACATTTGGCAGATTCTTAAGGTAGTATTTGCCTTGGATTGATGCCAATCTGGGAAGTACTGTAAACTGGGGAGCACGGGACAGCTGTTTCATCCTAGTATGAGACTGCTGAATAGTGTATACCCACAACCTCGCTAGGGATCCAATCCGGTACTGTCTAGTCTCGTAACGAGTCAAGTTAATCGGTTTAAGGTCAAGAATCCACATTTTTCTATTCATTATAGCTTGAAGAATTCTATGTCGAAGCATGCGGTTAATGAGTATGATTGCACAGTAATTTAGTTGGTGGTCTGTGAAGATTGATTGACATTCACCTTTAACTCATTGTACTCATCTTATACTCGCAGACTATGGTATGATGATTCAAGGGAATTCTGAATGAACGAAATCTGGTTGACAAGACCTTCTGGTCGGTATCCATAGTCTGCAGAGATTCATGTCAGTCAGCAGTATATTTCGTAAAGTTGGATAAGTGTGTACTCTGTGACATTTTCAACAGATTCATTACCGTCACTTCGACATAAGTTCAAATATATTTCACCTACTTTAGTCTAGGCAAACTAGTAGTATTGCTTGCTCTTTATGTGAATATGAGCTTCGAATGTCCAGAATACTCTTCATAAAGCTGTGAAGCCTAAGTGTATCGATACAGTTAAGCAACTCTGTAAATTAAATTGGTGTTCAGATTAAAACAGTTAAGGATTTTGTTTCACAATGTTGCTTGTTGTCATGTTGTTAACCCTTTGATTAACTTCTAATCTAACTCACACACACAAAAGTGATTCGTTACATAACTTCTTCACTCAACCTTGATGATAGACGAAACTTACCAAGCAAGTTAGTTTATGAGGTTGTGAACCTTCATTAATCACCACCTACGTCGACGTGCAATGCTAGGCGAAGTTGGAAGAGAATTGACGATGGTTGGACGAAGATTTGGCATCAATCTATGAAGTCTTTGATCTTAGCCGTTTAGGGACTACTTGATTGAGGTCACTGAAACTATGGGAATCAATGGTTGGAAATTGGTCACAGTGGCGCAGATGTATTTACCCTTTAACGTCTTCTGAAGTTTGGATGTTTTAACTAACCTTCACTTTCAAATTCCTTCTCCTCCGATACACTTTTGCCTACTTTGATATCAGTCTTTTTTTCTTTGTTGCTACTGTGAAATCTGGCAATTTGAAGCGACGTACTCATCTGCGAGATTCTAAGTTGATCTCGTCCTTCTATCTGTCTTCATCAACCAACCTCCGATGTAAGATTTTAATATAAGTATTCATTATCTTTACAGTAACTAATAGTCTAATTCACGCAATTTTTTGCGGGAATTACAAAGTCGTAATGCACAGCAATTAACCGACTTTAAGATAGAATTAATCTAAACAATTCTAATTAATCGACAGTTAGTACTGAGCAGTAAATTATTCTGTGTTCAACTCCCTAGAATACTAGACAAGTTAGTCGATGAGGTTATGAACCTTCACTGACTGAGGTAGCTTAGAAGTGGGCTGAATATGCCCATCTCACCGCGCCGCGTTAACGAAACTACGATTGGGTTAGTGTCCAGCCTAAGATGTAATACCAATCCTTAAAGTCTCTGGCTGTTGGTGTAGGCTCCCTGGTTGAGTTTTTCATGATGGTGAAAATCATCGTCTTGAGACTCTAAATGATATGACTCGCATTCGGTTTTTATGGTACATATTTATACACCCTTTTTCATTTCCGAAGTTTTAAACATTTTCACTAACCTTCATTTTATTTTGTTTTCCCTCCTCCTAGACAATTTCGTCTGCTTCACTTCCACTCTTTTCCAGTCTACTTTTTTCTCTACATTATGCTGTGAAGTGTAGCGATTTGAACCGGTGCACTTCTGTACCATTTTCTGTGTCTTCTTGTTTATCTGACAATAAAGTGTTGATGGTGTGATCACTGAACTTGAAAAAAAAATCTAGGAGCTGTTAGCTTGTTGATTTAGGTGGTGGGTCACGAGTTTGAACCCCCTCCGCCTACTGAAAGGGGTACCTAGTAAGTGCATCACTTTGTTGAGCGATCTTCACTCGAACACCAGTGAGGCGATTATCGAGTGGTGTACATTGAAAGGCATCTGTCAAAGGTCCCCATTTCTATGCAGTTTTGTCGTAGACGTCCGTATAGGGATCTCCCTCTCGTCATCTGACTTCATAGAGACCTAATCACAGGAGAGTCCTTGATATATCTATAATACGCAGATGACATAATCCTGTTAGATGAGGACCCTGGCAAGGTGTCGAGTCTTCTGGACACCTTGGGTGGAAATTTGAAGATGTTTGGGATACGTTTCTCACCACCCAAATGTAAATTTTTGCTTCAAGATTGGTCTTCAGCTGCGCTATAGTTAACAGTAATGAGTGAAGTGGTTGAGTGCTCTGAACATTTCACTTCCCTAGGAAATCGGATTAGCCCTGGTGCGTTAGTCAGTGCTCGATGGAATCTCCGCACGGATACAAATGACTAGATTGGCTTACGCTATATGTGGCGCTACTGCGATATTCGATTGGCTATGGAATCGTGTGTACTGTGCTGCAGTTCGCTCTGTTCTACTGTATGGTTGTGGAACATGACCATTAAAGGTAGAGGACATGAGAAGGTTTCAAGTGTTTAACCACGGTTGTCTTCATGACATAGCCTGCTTATCGGGGTGTCACCACCTGACCAACGCAGAAGTCAGGCGAAGAGTTTTAGAGAGGAGGGGTAAGGCAGTTGATGCGATTGCGGACCTTCATCGACTGAGATGGCTGGAACATGTGTTACAAATGCCAAATCACCGTCTACCTCGTAGCAGAACATCGGCCGAAGTGTATCTAAGTTGGAAGAAGGCTGCAGACGGCCAGCTTAGAACATGGCATCACTGTTTGGAATCCTCGACTGCTCGTTTTAGCCACGTAGGGAGATGCAGTCTAACCGGTTGGGGTCCGCTGGACAACAGAAACGGGAGGTTGGAGACTCTAAGTGACAAGGTTCAGAGTCGATGTCAGTAGCCCAGGTGTATCCTCACTTTATCTTCGTCCTTACCGCTATCCTTGTCCCTCTCTTTCACTACTGACCAATTTTTCTTTCTTCCATCTTATTACTCCTACTTAATGTGTTGGTATGATGAGGTGTGGCAGCTTTCACCGTTATGCACTAATGCCTTGACTTAGGTTGATATCGAAGCTGGTGGATAGCTAGGTAGTATCATTAGCCCTCTCCTAATATGTGTGGCTCATT